AAGGAAGGAAGGAAGGAAGGAAGGAAGGAAGGAAGGAAGGAAGGAAGGAAGGAATTCAATAATTCTCATTTGCACCATCTCTCATTGAAAAGTACATGGAAATGTGCTTTTGGATGTGAAAATATTTTTAAATGGATGTTATCTTATACATTCTTTAAATCTTATATGTTCTTTATCAGCACCAGTTTTCCTCTGAAAAATACCATTCTCGGTATGACACTTCTTGGGAGCTCTCCAGAATTCCCAACTAGTGTAGCAAGAGTTGAAATAGATTTCAGGAGGATAACAGGTCAGAATAGACCTGTTAGCACAACGTAACTTCATATTCAGTTACTCAGCAACTTTTGTTATGGAACACTGGCTTTCATAACTGAATGGGACAATTTGTCATGGCCAACTCACCACAACCAACTCGCCACGGCTAACTCACCATGGGACAACTTGCTGCAGGAAAATTCAATGAATAATAATAATAAAATGAAGTAAATCCAGAAATATAAGAGTTACAATCATTTCAATGAAAACGTGGTCACCAATAATAAAAGTGACTGAATGAAATTAGTAATACAGGCTTGAATGGCGAGTTGTCCCTCGGCAAGTTGGCTGTGACAAATTGCCTGTGGCAAATTTTCCTAGACCCTCTTCAAAAATAACAAGGAAAATCTATTGATTCAGAACAAATCTGAAAATGGTGTCCATTCTTTTTCTATAGTACAGAATGGCAACTTTCAAATATAATTTAATTTTCTTTCTAAAGTTCTTTACATTAAAATTCAATTCCTTTGCTTTTTTTTTACTTTTATGGTTTCTTAATTTCTTGGATGAATTTAAGGCATTTACAATACTGTCTCAATTTCTTTTCTTTCCTATCCCATATACTTGCCTCTTCACACATAGTCTATGACTAAGTTCATGAAATAATTATTTAGCTGAACTCTACACAACTAAAATATATTCTAATACATGAACAATGTACACAAAATTGCTTTAATGGGTACAAATAGGAAAATTATTCTTAAAATGCACTTTCCCTTCTCTTATTTTAGTACATGTAAGAACAGGATCTGGCAATGTACCATGGAGACGTGCCTATCAACCTGTACTGTTTATGGAGATGGACATTATATCACCTTTGATGACAAGCGTTATATTTTCAATGGGCAATGTGAATATACACTCTTGCAGGTATCAAGCATTGCTTTCTTGTTTTCACTGGAGAAGCTGTCTGGATCTAACACAGAAAGCAATATTTTGTTTGGTCTAATTCTATCTCCTTCCTTCTTAGGATTATTGTGGCCAGAACAGTTCCACCCAGGGGTCATTCCGAATCATCAGTGAAAATATTCCTTGTGGCACCACTGGCACCACTTGTACTAAATCTATTAAAATATTCTTCAAAGTGAGTAACATTGCTGCAGCATTGATGATCTACCATTAACTCCCTGGTATTCCCTCCTCCCCCCAAAAAATCTTCCAAAATAACTTTTTTTTAAAACTAAAGATGATGGTATAGTTAGCTCCTTTATGCAACTATTTTCATTCAGCACATGGAGGGCCATCTAAACAGCATTATGGGCTCTGAGCAAAGCAGTCTTCTGGGGGCCCTATGACAACTACTCAGAGGAATAAAAATGTAAATGGTCGATAAAATTAAACATATATTCATTTTATTGGCACTTCCAACAAAATCAATGTTGGCATGGGGCCCCAGTGCTCGTGGAGTCCACAGGCAACTGCCCATAAGGCCCTTGTATTAAGACAGCCCTGGCACATTGAGTGTTACATTTGGGATACTGTCATAGTTATTCCCCCCGTTTCGTGCCAAATTATAAGTGGGCAAACAAAGAAAGAATGCTAAACTGGTTTAATTCTTGTGTGAAATTCAAAACAACATGTCAAATATCCTATTGAACGTGTATAATACCTAGACTTCCCTAGAAATGCCCTTTGCATTCCAACAGTTTTAAAGACACTGAAGATATAGTTAGGAAACTAGTTAGTGCAAATAGAAATTCATTTAAGGCACTATTAATAGATACATGAATTGCCTTGAGGAACAGGAGAAAAGCTGCTACAAGACAATGCTCAGATAACCTGTGTCCTGGATAGGACTATAATTGAGAAAGTGACTCATACAAGACCTTCCTTGTTTTCATGGACATGAAAGCAGGGAAAAAGCAGATTCAGACTTACAAGATTTTGTTTCTGCAACCTTAATAATAAAAATAGTTTAGCCTGCATAAGTTTGATTTCCTAGTCTGGTCTAGTTCAAAGAGCTGATTACTACCATTGCTGTAACTATCCTCACAGAAACTGTAAAGTCCGAAGTTGTTCTTCCCTATTCTATATATTCTTTTTATTAACTGGATGACGCAGTTGATATTTATTTAAGGAAATATTCAGCTTTTGTCTACCCTATTGGCTAATAAAATTTCGGTTGTGCATATTTTTTTATCAATAACTCAAAAAGCGGCTTTGGAAAATTTTCATTGTTCCCTATTATTTTTTCAACTCTTCCAGAACTATGAAGTGATACTTAATGAAGAGCAAGTTAAAACAGTAGAAAGAGAGGGTGGAGGTCAGATACCAATTAGAAAGCATCAAATGGGCAACTACATGATGATTGAGTTTCATAAAGGATTAATTGTCTTATGGGACAAGAAAACAACCGTAATTGTCAAACTTGGTGCAGAATACAAGGTGAGATAAAACTTTAAAGACATATCTATTTCTTTATTGCATAATCTATTAAAGAGTTTGGTAAGGCTGCTTGATAGGCACATGGTTTTGAGTGTCTAACAATCAACAAAATGATATACAGTAATTAAAAACTTTGCAACAACAGCAAAGATACACTCACCAAACAAAACCCAACAGCAACAAACCAGGCTCACCCCTTGCCTAAATGATGCTAGGATTCCTTGGAGTCACTCTGCCAAACGGTACACAAATAAAATATCAAATCTTGAGGCAAGGGGTATGTTCCATAGGGCGGTTCCTACAACGGAGAATGCATATTTCCTGGGTCCCATTAAGTAATATATAATAGAGAGGACTTGGAGCACATCTTGTGGGAGAAAGCAGAAGTAACTGGAAACAAGAGAAGAAGGAGGTCTGGAACAGCTAATTGGAGAGATTGGTTAGAGTCACAGATTCTCCTATATCAGGGGTGTCAAATTCAAGGCCCATGGGCCGGATCTAGCTCGCAGGGCGCTTGGAAACAGTGAAGGACCAGGCCATGGTGCCTCTGCCAGCGAAAACAGAGCTTGAGAGGGCCATGTGTGGCCTCCTGAGCTCCGTTTCTCTGGCAGAAGATTGCACGAGGCCATCACAGCTGAAAACGGTGCTCACAAGGGCTGCATGGGGTCTTCTGGGGCTCTGTTTTCATTGGCAGAGGGTTGCAGAGGCTATCACAGCCAGAAATGGAGCTCAGGTCGGGAGCCTGTTTTCGCTGGCAGAGTACACAGGCCACCAAAGGTGCCCCCAACACGAGTGATGTCGAGCTGGCCATGGCCACCCTGGCCATGCCAATTCCAGCCCCGGAGGTCAAACACAACCCTGATTTGGATACTGTATTTTCTACATTTTTTTTTTTAGAAAATGTGTATTCATTCCTTAGCTCCCTAACTCTCTGTCTAAAGTCCTCGTCAAAATGGTTTAAAATTTAATGCACAAAACAATTGAAGGTTTGAGAATGGATCCATATATGTGTACATAACTGGAATAGTAAAAATTGCCTTTTCTACCTTGCCTTCTTCCCACTCTTTAAAGATACCACATAGTAAGTTGAGATCCAGCTGAATCAGAAAGAAAATGGCAAGTAGATTGGCTGAGTCCTCGTTTGAAAACATTTTAAAAACATGTCTCTCATGGATGGATTTCCTTAGGTGTTTGGCAACAACTGATATAGATGGAACTGTCTTATTTTAAAAAATCATCTAGATTCTAGGTTTGTAGTCATTAAAATCCCAGTCATGCTGGATGGAAAGGAAGGAATTCTCAAAAAGTGTTCTAAAAGTTAAAAAATCTTCAAAGGATCATAGAAAGAAGTGGGAAATCAGTGAAGATTCTCCCCTATAGCCTGCTTCCAGATCTATAGGATCAAACAGAAGGAACCATTCTACTGGAGTTGGTGGGGAGGATTTATTTATTTATTTATTTATTTATTTTGCCACCCATCTCACTTTGAGGCACTCTGAGTGGCTTACAAATATTAAAGCCAATAAAACCATGAACAATAAATATTCTTAATAATTACAGTTTAAAAGATGGGGAGGAAGAGACCAGGATGTGCTGGGGTCTTCCCTTAGCCACCTTCAGCCTGATATATTTCCATTAGGGTCCGAAGCCAAATGGCAGAATAAATCTGCACTAGTCTTTTTGATCCTAAATTAACAATTCTCATAAATGAAATGAAACAAAACTTTTTCCTTCCTTCCTTCCTTCCTTCCTTCCTTCCTTCCTTCCTTCCTTTTTTCTTTTTTCTTTCTTTTCTTCCTCCCTCCCTCCCTTCCTTTTTCTCTGCATATTTGTTGATTTCTTTGCTAGTTCAGTAATAAATAATAATTTTAGCAACATAATTCAGTTTAGATTATGAACATGATACAAAATCAGTAGTAAATGTCTCAAAATGTAGACATAAGGCCACACACAAGTTTTATTCTTTTACTGAAAGGGTTAAAATAATGTAGTAGGAAGAATAAAGGAAACTTTCCTATTATAAATGAACTTTAGAGTTGGTGATATGTTGATTAATTGAACTGAAAAATCAAGCATTACATGTGTTGCACATTCTCTATAATTCAATTAATTTTTGTGCTCCTTTCTTCAGGGTGGGGTCTGTGGACTGTGTGGGAACAATGATGGAAATGGAGTTAATGACTTTACAACTCGGAGTCGATCTGTAGTAGGTGATGTACTGGAGTTTGGAAACAGTTGGAAGGTATCACCCACATGCCCCGATGCCAAATGTGTCAAGGATCCTTGCGCCAAGAATCCTTATAGGAAAGCTTGGTCACAGAAGATGTGCAGCATCATCAACAGTAAAGCCTTTGCTGCCTGCCACTCTCAGGTACACCAAACTCTCAGAGCAGATTTTTCAAAGGAGATCATTCTTTCAGGTGACAATCGCCTGTCTATCTGTCTGCATACCTACCTACCGGTTGTCCTGAATTACAACCTTTCATTTAATGATGGTTTGAAGTTATGATGTCCTCAGAAAAAGTTCCTTATGACATGTCCTGAAAGTTACAACCTTTCACAACACCCCAGAGGTCAAATTATTGCAATTTGGGCACTTGGTAACTAGCTCACATATATGATGGTTGCAGCATTTTGTGGTCATCTTCCCAACCAGCTTCCACAAAGCAAAGTCACTTCAGGGGAGCCAGATTCACATAATGACCATATGATTCATTTAACAGCCGCATCATTTGCTTAAAAAAAACTGGTTAAAATGTTCATAAACTTGGATTGGATCACTTGACAACTCGCTTAATTACCACGTCCCTTAACAAATTGATTTTAGTTCACCTTTATTCAATGTTTTGCACAAACATTTGAGAAAATTGTGCCTAGAAGATCAAAAGATGTAGTGTCTGTTTCATTTCTTCATAGGTGGACCCAACTAAATACTATGAAGCCTGTGTGACTGATTCCTGTGCTTGTGACACTGGGGGAGACTGTGAATGTTTCTGTACAGCTATAGCTGCATATGCTAAAGTATGTAGTGATCATGAAGTATGTGTATCATGGAGAACACCATCAATTTGCCGTGAGTATCATATATGATTGCATGGACAATGCCAATCCAAAGCTGGGAAGTGAAGTATCAACTTGGAGATTATCTCACCCCCTGAGGATATGACAATGTTCTCATACCATGCCTTATCAAAAAATGCAATGAAGGAAACATCTAGATATTTGTGCAACTATTAATATTTATTAAATCAACAACTGGCCAACCTGTGATGGAAAACAGAAGTAAGACTCATCATGCTAGATGAGGGGTGGGGAACAATGTCCTTTTATGAATTGTCGACTTTGACTCCCAGAATTTCTGAGCCAGCTCAGGAATACTGGGAGTTGAAGTCCACAAGTCATAAAGAGGTCATCATTCCCCATGTCTGTGCTAGACAGACATTACTTCAAGCATTTGAATCAAGTGAGGGCATTATTTCATCTCATGCCTGAGTGGTTATCTTCCAATCATTAAAATGCAGGCATTAAAATGTGATTATTTTCATAGTGACATAAGCTGTAGCATTTCTCAAGAATTGAGATGTCTGATTCTTCATGTTTTTCTCTTTGTTCCCTTAGCCATGTTTTGTGACTATTATAATAAAGAAGGTCAATGTGAAATGCACTACAAACCTTGTGGAGCCCCATGCATGAAGACCTGTAGGAATCCAAGTGGGAGGTGTGCTCATAATTTACCCGGCTTGGAAGGTGAGAAGATGTTTTTTATCATATGTGTGTCAGCTAATGTTATAACGTGCTATTTAACAGTTGGCTAATATCTTATAGGAGCATAATGATTATTTATAGCATAGTAGGTCAAAGTTATCACTCTATAAAGAATGTCTATTATGTTTAATACCTATTATGTTTCTGTCTTTCGCTTCAAATAATTTGTAGTTAATCTTTCTGAGACCCTCCCAAGGCATGGGGCTAGAAATCTACCATCAGATTTAATGATTAGCCTACTTTAATAGTTGTGAACTAGATGGGTATACAGAGCTGAATAGAGTGTTCGCCTTTTCTTTCTGCATCTTTTATTTCAATATCAATCTTTTCTACCTCAAGTTGCAGATTGAGGAGACTGATAAAAAGGCAATGCACCAGTATTTCACCCATCTTTTTAATTCTCAGTAATGATCAGGAATATTGGGACTGTGAAGAAGAGAATTTCAGAGGGGGTAAATGGCAAAAAGAAAAAAGAAAAATATATCATTTGGAAGAATGTAGTCATTATACTGATCAAAGCTATAAAATACATATACCAGAGAAATCAATGGGGGAGGGGTGTGTGTGGAAATGACAAATTCTAAATTAGAACTGTTGTGGAGGCTTAACCCAATAGGGCTATGAAGATGCACACACACATGCATGCACACATGTACATTGGGAAAAAAGCAGTTACCTTCATAGTAAAAGCAATGCAATTATATTGCATACATGGCATACACTGATTTACATTTTATTTCTAATTTTCAACTGGCCAGACAGGGATAGCTAAAGGGCCAAATGTGGACCATAAAATGCCCAAGACTATATTAAGAGACATTATTCTGTTTATCTTTTATAATGGACAGTCTAGCAATTTTAAAGTAATATAGAACATATTAAAAGACTAGTTTGTGGAATCTTGGTCTTGGAATTGATCCAAAGCAGCTTAAATGCTGTATGTGAATAATCACTTTGTTTGAATTCAATATCATCTAGGTTATTGGTTTTTCTTTGCCCTTTATCCCTTCCTTCCACTTAGGTTGCTATCCACATTGCCCAGTAGATAAGCCTTATTTTAATGAGGAAGAGATGGAATGTGTTAGTGTTTGCGGCTGTTATGATGCTTCGGGTAACTATCATCAGTTAGGAGAAACCTTTACTACTGGAGTGGTATGTCAATCATGGTGAGTAATAATAAACGCTACAAGTCTTGGTACAGTAGGTATAATCAGAAAACATGTTGCAGTGACTCCAAAATGACTCTGTTCATTTTCATACACTTACAATAATGTTAGCGTTAATTCATTGTATGATTGATTAATTATGTACTATCAAAACATTGGTGACTCTTAGTGACCACACAGATAGATTTTTTTTCAATGATGATCCATCCTTCACCTGGATATTGAAGGTCTTCCAATACTACACCTATTGCCATTGTAACTGAATCCATCCAGCTTGCTGGTGGTTATTCTCTTCTTAGAGGAATCTATTTGGTAGAAACCACAGCTTCAGTTTAAGTTTAGTTTAGATACTCAATAAACAAAATGTGTGTGTGTGTCCATTAATATCTATACCCTATGTATGCTCAATAATGTTTCTTAAAATAATTTACATACATTTCAATTCTTGTAGTCACTGATGCCTGTCCTTTTCAATAAGTTAATAGCTGTATAAAAGGTAAAGGTTTCACTGCCCAGTCATGTCTTACTGTAGGGCACACTGCTTATCTCTGTTTTTGGCCAAGAGAGCCAGCATTGTCCAAAGATAATTTCTGTAATTATGTGGCCAGCATGTGGCCAAAGGCACATGGAAGTCTGTTACCTTCCCACTGAACTGGCATCTATTACTCTACTTGCATTTCCATACTTTCGAACTGCTAGGTGGGTAGGAGCTGGAACAAGTAATGGGAGCTCACCCCTTTGCATGGCACTCAGATGTCAAACATGGGCACTTTTTAGAGAACCGAAATGTTGGAGTTATTATTAGACCCTTTCTTTCAGTTGCTAGAGAATCATATTTCAGTGTAACACCTATGATATTCATCAGAGATGTTGAATATTCCTATTTGAGATATATGAAAGCAAAGCTATTCAGTGGAATTTAATAGGAAATAAATTGGAACATGTTTTTAATGAATCATGTTGTTGTTTCTTACAGTAAATGTACCAATGAAGGCATTATTAGCTGTGAACATGATACTAAAGGTAACTTGAAAATATTTATTAATAGTGCCATAAAATTGTTTGATACAACTTTGTCTAGACACACATTCTTATTTTCTAAATGCAGCTTGCTACTGCTACTACGAAGGAAAGAGGTATAACTACAAGGAAGTCATTTACAATACCACGGATGGCTTGGGTTCATGTATAACTGCAATTTGTGACATCAATGGAACAATCAATAGAGACGTCTATCAATGTGCTGGAACTACCACAAAACCACCATTTGAATTCACAACTTCAAGTAGAACAGGTATTTCATTCCATAGTTTGGATTTGACACCAGCTTTTCTGACATTGATCCTTTCCCAATATACTTGCCCAATATATCTAGATGATATTAGATACTGTCAAAGGCTATAAATGAACCAAAATGGGAATCAGCACCACCAGATCTACACGAATAATTGCAAAGAGAATACAACTATTACCTATTTTAAAAATTCCAAAGGCCTACTGCAAGTATCTTGTGATTTGGAGGAATCTTCTTCCTCCAGTGACGAAATACTAAATTTTGCAGAGATAAAGCAACATCTTTCTGTATAGTATGTTCCTACCTCTGGAAACAGAAGTATCAGAGTGAATGTAAAAAAGAGCAAACATTCTCAGGGAAGACTAAGGCCTGTTGAGATGGAGGGAGGGAAGAACAGTGTTTATATCTTGAATCACACAGGACCCATCCATGAAGAGCAAGAAATCAAGGTACTGATCTCTTGTCTGCAGCAGGTGGCCTTCCTGCTGCAGATAATTTATTACGTACTTCAAACAAACAATTATTGGTTAATGTCACAATGTGACGTAGATATTATAGACAGCTTGGGCCCATTCTCAATTCTCACCAGAGACATATTAAGTCTGATATTTGAATGCATTGACTGAAAAATAATTTCAAATCTTAACAGAATTAAAATATTAATTTCTTTCGCTTTATTTATAAAGCAAATACATTTAAAAAAAATAAAAGACGTGAAGCACCAGGTACTTTTTTTTTTAAAGCACAAAAGCTAATGACCGAGCGATTCAACAATTGTACAATATATACAGTTCCTACAATCTGCTATCTAAATCAGGACAGGACAAAAATAAGTGTCAAGAGGAATTTGAATCCACGTACAATTTCATTATTAGAATAGAATAGAATAGAATAGAATAGAATAAAATAGAATAGAATAGAACAGAACAGAACAGAACAGAACAGAACAGAATAGAACAGAATATAATTCTTTATTGGCCAAGTGTGATTGGACACACAAAGAATTTGTCTTTGGTGCATATGCTCTCAATATACATGAAAACACAAGATAGATTTTTGGAAACAAGACAAGATTATTTTTGTTATTGATATTCAAAGTTTAAAGTACAATAAATATTTTCCAAAGCAAAGGAAAATATGATAATGAGAACTACAAGAATTGCTTGGCTTTGTTACATGATTCTATATATAAAATAAAAAATTTATACAGTTAGTCCTCAACTTGTGACCACAATTGAACCCAAAATGTATGCTGCTAAGTGAGAAATTTGTTAAGTGAGTTTTGCCCCATTTTACAACCTTACCAGATTTGTTAAGGGAATCACTGCAGTTCATAAATTAGTAGCATGGCTGTTAAGTGAAGTTGGTTTCCCTATTGACTTTGCTTGTGAAAAGTTTGCAAAAGGAAATCACATGACTCTGAGACACTGCAATCATCATAAATGTGAGTCAGTTGTCAGGCATCCAAATGTAAATCACATGACCATGGGGATGCTGCAATCGTCATAAGTATGAAAAATGGTAATAAGTCACTTTTTTCAGTGCCATTATAACTTCAAAAGCTCAATAAATGAACTATTGTAAGTTGAGGAGTACCTGTACATAAACATCTTTTCTATTTTGTTTCCTTAAAGTTAAAAGCATCACAAAGAATACTGCCTTTTTTTAAAGGTATCTACATTTAGATAATAAATTATACAATAGGCAAAAGAAGTCTGCTTCTCAAAAGCACAGGTTATTGATACACATTTATGAAACAATTATGTTTTATGTTACAGAATCAATTCCAACAAGAACAACAATGTGTGTGCATAAAGTTTGTAGATGGATGGGTTGGTATGATGTTAGCAACCCATCATATGAATCAACCAATGGAGATTATGAAACTCCGGAAAACATAAGAGCGAAAGGATATAATCTTTGCAAAAATCCAGATAAAGTGGAATGCAGAGCAAAAGAATTTCGCGAAGAAACAGTGCAGTCTCTCGGTCAAAATGTAGTATGTACACCAACTGATGGCTTGATTTGCAATAACAAGGATCAGGCTCCACCAGTGTGCTATGACTATGAGGTCAAATTCTTATGTTGCAATTTTGAACCATGTGGTCCTTTGACATCAACAACTGCTACTAAACCTACCGGAGGAACAACACCAATTGCTGAAACAACAACAACAACACCTTATATACCCCAAACAACACGTGCACATTTTATTGGGACCACTACCTCTACTCCCCAGCCTTCTACACCAAGTTCAGTGCTTCCCATATCCACAACTTGCCATCCTAAATGTGAGTGGACCCAATGGTTTGATGACCACAATGCAAAAACTAGCCCTGATGGTGATTTTGAGCGCTTTGAAGACATACGGGCACGTGGATTGGCTTGTGAGCATCCGCAAGATATTNTCCTTCCTCAATAACTCAATTAGAGACTCAATAAAAACTGAAAGTTGATAAGACTTCAATGCAAATGAATAAAGTTAGTTCTTTTGACCCATGATATCTACAGATATATTTATCTTTTCATGTGATATACCAACTTTTTCTCTCTTCTGGATAGAATGTACTGCTCCAATGGTTTACTTTGACTGCAGAAATGCCACCACTGATAGCAAAGGAGCCGCATGTCAGAAAAGCTGTCAGGCTCTTGATGATCATTGTGTAAGTATTGAGGCCCTTTCTGAGAGAATATATTACAAATCAGAAAACAGTTCCTTAGACCATAAAGGCATGAATTAATCTTAGACAAGCCACTCCTTGCCCAATTCTTTCTGGAGCCTATTGTTCTATCTTCTTCAGGATCTTTCATTTATCCAGAAACATACTATTACTACCTCAAATACACATATAGATAGAAGAACTTCTGGGTATGGAGTGGAATTATTAATTCAGGTGGTCATTCCCTACGGGCAATTCTAGCTGAATTGACACCACCATTGTGTTTCAATTGAGCCAGCCTTATTTAACCTGGACTGAAAAAGCAAATTATTTGACTGCTTATTTGCTCCCTCCTGAGTCATATTTTCTTCTTGACGCTTACAGTACAATTCAAAGTGTGTCTCCGGTTGCATATGTCCAGACGGGCTAGTGTCAGATGAGAAAGGCGGTTGTATTCCTGTGGACAAGTGCCCATGTGTTCACAATGATGCCACATATCAGCCTGGGGAAAAGATCAAAGTTGACTGTAACAATTGGTAAGTATACCTTTTGTTAGATATAAATTCCTAAAGTAAAATGGTTATATTGTCCTTGGGAAAGGACACCCCCCCCCCAAGACATACAAGGTTGAAAGCAAACTGGCAAGAGTCGTGGTGCATATTTCACCTAAGTACCTGAAACTATAATATAAATATATCACCAGCCAATTTATGTTTGTATTCATTAGTTCTAAATGTATTTTCTATTTTTCAAATCATTTTCTTTCTTGAATCCATGTATTTATTTTTGATTACAGTTTTTTGTTGTTTGTAATCTGGTTGCAAGGGGCAGGAAATTTGGAGCTAATCATAGCTGGGGTTGCTAAAATAATTATGATGTTAAACTTAGTTAGGGGATACCTAGATCCAAATCCACCTTCAGCCATGGAAGTGCACAGTGTTACTTTGCTACAGACGTTCCATTTCAATCTAGCTTGTTTCACAAGGTTATTGTGTTCTGTATACTGCTTTGAAAAGGCAGCAAAGGAAGGAAGGAAGGAAGAAAGGAAGGAAGGAAGGAAGGAAGGAAGGAAGGAAGGAAGGAAGGAAG